TGTAATGCCAGGGCACTCTGCCCAGGGGGACAGCTTGAGACTCTGTCTCAAAAAAAAAAAAAAAAATAGTTGCAACTGAGATGCAGAACTATTGGCTAGATGGATGGCAAGCTGATGTACAACATTGGCCTAGAGTGATTTCAAATGGCTTAGCAGCCTCAGTTTTCTATCTTTGGTAGTAAAGAGCAAAAAGTTACACAAAAAAGGAGACTTCATAGACCTATACAGAATTTATATTCTATCTAAATAATGAAGGACGTGGATTGATTAAGCGGAAATAAAAGCACTTTTATTAACTTTTTCTGGCATTTCTCACTTTACTGCATCTTATTATTCCAAAATGACTCTCTTGAAATTTGTTCTTTCTACCATATACTGTGTCCCTTAAGCACAATAACAGCAGAAATACTATGCATATATCAGTACTATATAAAAGTTTCTAGAGTGATTTAATCTTATATTGTATGTTAGAGTTCTCCAGAGAAACAGAACTAATAGAAGGTATAGAGAGAGGAAAAAAGAAAGAGATTTACTGTATGGAATTTGTTTGTGTGTTTATAAAGGCTAAGAAGTCTTAACGATCTACAGGCAATAAGCTGGAGATCTATGGGAGCCAATGGTACAGGTCTAGTTCAAATGTCAGCAACCTTAAGATCCAGGTAGAGCTTATGTTTCAGTTCAAGGTAGTCAGGCAGGAGAACTTGATTTTACTCATGGGAGGATCAGCCTTTTTGTTCTATTCAGGCCTTCAGCTGATTGAATGAGGCCCACCACATTAGGGAGAACAATCTGTTAAATTTAGTTTACCAATTCAAATATTGATCTCCTCCAAAACACACTCACAGACACACAGAGAATAATGTTTAACTAAATATCTGGGTATCCTACCACTGCCATGAATTGTTAAATAAATATTTCCTGCATTTTATTATAATGATAGTCTCTCAGGATGAATAGTATAATAAAAAAGACTGATTTATCTGTACTATCTTATTTCTTCTGTCAAAATTTTTTTAAAAAGCATATTAAAAGTGTAACATTTGAGAAATAAAAGTATTTTAAATATAAGAATTCAGCAATAAACCATTAAGACATTTTAATGTAGTTTCTTATAAGTGTGTATCAGTGGGGAATATTTTTATTACTACTACCAATACTAGGTAAGATTTATTGAATCCTTGCACTTGTGTGATGTGGTATTTTGCAATAAATTTTTATCATTATCATTAGGTCTTAGGAAACCATATAAGGAAGTGACTATCTCATTTTACAATTCATTATTTAGACTTCAAGGTTAATTAGTTTTCAAATTTTACTTAGTAAAAGGAACATTTGGAATTTTAGATTCTAAATTATTTCATTTTGAAAAGTGAACTTTTTTTATTATTTCAAATTAGTATGAGAGTACAAATTTCTAGTTTACACTGTTTTCACTTCTAAGGTAAAGTTCAATTTGTAGTTGAGCCCTTCACCTGGGGAGGGGAGGAGTGTGCTGAACACCCTCCTATTATTTACTTTAGGTGAGATACCACCAATTGCCCTCCTTCCTCCCACCAATCACCCCCCTTCTGTCTCTTTCCTCTCTCCCTTCTCTCCCCTCCCCCTTGCTAGACTATATTCGTATTATATCATTTGTGTGAGCATGTAGTTGTTTGTATATCGTTTTCATATTAGTATTGAGTACACTGGATCTTTTTTTCCCATTCTTGAGATAATTTACTAGGACAAATGTGTTTCAACTCCATCTAGGTAAACATAAAAGTTTTTTTTCTTATTTTTTCTTATGGCTGAATAGTACTCCATGGTATACATATACCACAGTTTGATAACCTATCCACAAGCTGAAGAGCATTTGAAAGTTATGGTGTATTTCTGTTTTTCAGTTTTGCCTCATTCTGCAGTATAATTTGTCCTTCATTACTACTTAATATGAGAATGAGCATCTTACCATGTAACTAACTATTCTTTGAAACATGACTTTGAATAACTAACTTTCAAACCATTTATTTCCTTTACATATTGGAAGTATCTCTTTACTGCTTATGATTTCTTCTGTATTTTCTCATATAATGCTTGTTCCATTTGTGTTATATCTTCTTTAGGTATTTAGAACAATACCCCACCTCTAAGTTTTATTACTACCACTGTATACAGAGTGTCCCAAGAGTTACTCCTAAAGTCACCATCCATAGGGAAAATGGGAAATTGTAGCTACATGTACCTTTATTTAGAAATATTATAAAATTTCACAAAATATTTATAAAATATTTTCTGCAGGATAACCACCTCTTAGTAAAATTTTTTAATGAGTATTTTGTAAATAAAGGTACAATTAGCTACAATTTCCCATTGTCCCTATGTATGGTGACTTTTGAGACACCCTGTATTATTTTGAACTCTAACTATTAGAGTTGAGAACTTCAAATTTCCTTTTATTGTTGTCATCTTCCACAATTTTAGTCTATCTTATTATAATTTAGGATTTCTGACCAAGAATATTATTTTGAATTATCAAAATAATGATAAAAATATTTTTGACATTTATAGTTAATTAAATTCATTTTACATTAACATTTACATTTTAAATTTTTTTTAGATTTTTAGTAGTTGTATTGCTTAGTACTCAAATTTTTAGTACTTCCAGTTGCGCTGATGTGTAAAATAGAAAGAATGTATCTTGAAGTAACTTCTTCAAGAAGAGTAGATAGAATAAGGGGACCTTTGTATTGGGTTCTGACTATGCAGATTCAATCAACTGTGGATAGAAAATATTTTTCTTAAAGGTTGATTGTGTACTAAACATGTACAGATTTTTTTTCATTGTTCCCAAACATCATAAGCTAAATATTCACATAGCATTTACATTATAGTAGGTGTTAAAAGTAATCCAGAAATGATGTGAAGTAGATGGTAAGAGACTTGAGTGTCTGTGGATTTTGGCATCTGCTGGGGGTCCTGGGAGCATTATCCTGTAGATACTGATGATGACTGTATATTTTGTTGAGTTCCCAGGTATTCCAATATGTTTCTTGTACCATTATATGTGAATTGCAATTCTCTTGAGCATTAATTCTTGGCTAAGTATAATTTCTCTTCCAAATTCTAAGTACTTTTCAATTCTTTTCTAGAATTACATACTTCAGAATACAAGTATGAATTTACCTCTCTAGCAAAGCTTTTTCTTTAGAAATAGAACTACTAAAATTGTCTATAAATTGACTTTATATAGAAGATAATCCACAGAGGTGTACTTTGTTTGAGTCACCAAGTGATTGTTTTCCTTCCTTTGTTTTGTGTTATTATGTTTTTAATTCCTTTTTGTTTGTTTAGTTATCATAGGAAAAGAGAACTATTAAGATCTGTAGTTTACTAACAGGGATTAAAAGTGGCTCTGAACAACTTAAAGTCTGTCAAATTGGATTTGAGGCTGAATCTTACCTTAATTATTGGGAGAAAATGTATAAATAGTTTATGTGTGTATCTGATAGTTTAATTTTTCAGTTTCTACCCAGGATTTATTTCAAATTGTTTTCCCTGGGATAAAATGGAATCTTCTGCTAATCAAGTTGAATGACTGTGGTATTTTCAACAGGTGCAATGTACACCAGCCCCTAGCCCCCAGCCCCCAGCCAAAACACCCAGCAGCCTTCATGGACTTCCATTAGGTGCCATCCTTCTTTTGCTACACCTCTAGACAAAAGATGGGAGGTAGCACTGAATATATCTTCTTTTAGATAGGCTCACATCTTATAGTCTTTACTGCAGGAGCAAAAGCTCTAGCTTCCTACCTAAAGATGGACAGACTTATTCAATTTCCAATGCCATAATGTACAAGTTCTTCTAAATGAATCTTTAAATTTTGTTCTACTGGCTTTAGAAAAAGTCAAAATTCCCTTATGATAGTGTCAATAGAAGGCTCCAAAGAGTAAACTCTCTGAGATCCTGTGATTTTTTATTTTTGTTCTTTGTCATTGTAAGAGGTTGAAAAGGGGGTGTATTTATCAGGTACTTAGATGGTATTTTGAGCTTGACATTTTCTAACTTATTCTTTGGTTTAAATTATGTGGATTATAATTACGTGGATCATTGGCTTTCAAATTATATTTGCTATTTTCTTCATTCTTATACTTTACTGACAACTTATGAACTACTTTTGAGTTAGTAGATAGAGATATTCATAAGTGGAGAGATAAAAAAATAATATTTTAGACTGAAGGCAAAAAATTAAAAAAAAACACCATAAACATAAAAATGAACTGAGATAAGCAGAAGTAAAAATAAACAAAGAAAAGAAAAAACAAGGTGAAATTTTGTCATAATTGCATTATTACATTAATAAATTATTGCTATTTACTTTTAATTTCCTAGTTTCATGTAAATTCTCATGGCTCAAATGA